CGATGCGGGACTCGATCCAGGGACTCCAGGATCATGACCTGAGCCGAAGGCAGTCGCTTAACCAGCTGAGCCACCCAGGCGCCCAATTCTTTGTTTTTTAAAACAAATGTGAAAAATGACTTTAAAAAATCATTCTTAGTTTGAGGGCTTATAAAAAAACAGGCCGTTGGAAAGGATGCTGACCAGTGTTTGCCGTCCCCTGTTGTAGACTGTGAGCTCTGTAAGGCAGGGGCCCCATGTCCCCATCACCATGGTGACAGTCTCTAGGGCTTCTGTTAATAGTCGGGGGGGGGGGGGTTCATGTTCCTATCCGAATGATCTTTTGATTTGATAGAAGTGTCTAAAAGTTAGATCTCATCCAATCCTAGTGGAGAATTTCAAGCTGATTTACATTTGAGGTCCTGTTAAATACCAGTTATTCTGATGAAAATACAATCCAGTTCCTGCCCTGAGGGGCTTACCGCCCATCGTGGGGGAAGAATGCTGTTATTAGTTATGACTGTTGGGGGCGTGGAGCAGAAACTTCCTGGAGCCAGCTCCCGGGAGCGAGATGTAAAGATAAAGCGGTGTGTTATGGAACCCCGGGGCACCAGAATCAGGATTTGGACACTTCAGGCGATTTTCCGTCTATGGTCGTTCTTTGCTCTGGGCACTCCGGGCTCGTGAGGCAGACACACTAGAGGGGGCTCTGGCACGTAAGCTTGGGAGCGTTTGTGGTTTGTGTCTTCACTGAGGCTGACTCTCCTAGAGATTTCATTCATTTTCAAGACGAATGAAAGGATGGATGTACCCAGTTTCATGTAAGAACCAGCTTGGTTCGCCTTCGGCCTGGTGCCAGGCTCCGGGAGCCTGGAGGTATGTGATGTCACTGTCTCTCCCGTTACACTTTTTTGGCCCCAGTTTGTAACTGATCGTTGCTCCCTGTGCTTTATATAAAGTCTTGGATCATAATATATAGGATTTTATCTTAAAGTCATCCTGGGGGGTGCAGAGTGCTTTGCCAGCACACTGGGGCTGTTCCTTCCGGCCTGCATGGCTTCTGAATAGGGTAAAAGAGCAAACCATACTGTGGCTACTGCCCCCAGGCGCCTTTTATTATCAGCGAGTATCAGTGTTTGCAGTTACCTCTGACATACATATTAGCAGTATGTCTAAGTGGATGCTTTAGCTTTCTTCCCCATACACGAATTCCAATGGGAAGTAATAGTCGCTTTTACAAGTTTATTTATCATGATCAAGTTTTAGAAACAATAACCAAGAACCTCTTGAGTATAGGATAAAAGACGTGGACAAGCTCTTAGTCCCCAGGTGAGTCCCCTACCAGGCGGCACTCACTCACCGTTGGCAGCACGCGCTCGTATTTGAATGAATGAGTGAATGAATGAGTAACATGCTAATGGACTTGTAGAAGCCCGAAGGAAATTAGAAAGTGGCAGAGGTTAGGAGCTGCCTTCTTGGTCATCTTGTCAAGATTTTCTAAGTGGAGGGGGGCAGTGGAGCCCCCGCGTGGTCTGCCCCTGGGGGTGCTGCTGCTGAGTCTGCACCCCAGAGAGCCCTGCTTGTGTTGCCTGAGCAGATGCTTTTTCTCTGGATGCTGGTTCTTTGGTTTGAGAAGTGCACACACCCGGCTGTTCCTGAAGGCTTCCTGATTGTGGTTGCTACCCTTTGATTTGGTTTTGCTCATCCTTGAAATGCACAGCTTTCCGTAGGCAGGTTCTGTACCTCCCCTACTCTGCCTGAGCTTTGATGTTACATGGATGTGCTACAGTGATGAGCACTTATTTTTCCGTCTTGAAGAGCTGTCCTTGACTTGGCAAGAAGACTCAGTGTGGAAAGGTTTACATTTCAGTGTCGCCGGTGAGCAGTAGACTCTGGTCAATTCAGACAGAATAGGACTTCTTAACTTTGGGGGTGGGGGAGGGACCTACAACAAAATGCTCTTTAAATGTGTGCAAAACGGCCTGTGTGTGGTAAGGGCGTTTTTCTAGGGACAGAATCCAAGGCTTTCTTCAGGTCTTCAGGGAGATCCGTGATCCCTGAAGAATTCAGTCCACTGCCTCAGGGATTCTGGTGGAATAACGCTCTTTTTTTTTTTTTAACATTTCAAAGGCAGATTGGGAGCGGTGCCGAGAAAAATTTCCTTACTAGATGACATTTCATCGCAATGTCCGATCGTTTGGGGCAAATAACCAAGGGCAAGGATGGGAAAAGCAAGTATTCGACTCTCAGCCTGTTTGATAAGTATAAAGGAAAATCAGTAGACGCAGTCAGATCCTCAGGTAAGAACCGGGGTGAGGCCAGTTCTCTCCGCTTTCCCTTACATGAGAAACCCCAGGCCAGGAATTCGCTTGGTCAGACTGCCTTCTGGGCGTGGAGTGGTCACCTGGCAGCTCTGGGGACGCAGAATCGCCCTCCTGCTCCTGTTGGTGTCTGATTTCAGGGCCTGGATATCCTGGCTCTGCTTCCATGGGATTGTGTCCTCTTCTGTCTTATCTCCTGGAAGCCGGGGATCGGTTTCCCCCCATGGGGTAGACTGGGACTTCATTTGCATTAGTTACCCTGTCTTAGGCTTCCTGGTTCTGACATTCTGGAGCTTGGTGGGAAAATCCTGTTGACACCGTCCACACCCTGGGAGGATTTGGGGAATGTTGAGGGGCCCTGCTCAGGCCTGGCACGGGGCTTGGCAGAGGCTGTCCCTTCTGTCCTGCCACAACGGGGCCGGAGCAACCTCAGCTTGAGGAGGGGTGGTTACCACGTGGGGCGGAGGTGTCTGGGCCTGGTTCCCCGCCTGTGGCATAAACTCCCTGCACCTGCTCTTGCCCGCTAGGAAAATGGAAGCCTCGGCACAGATGTCAGCCGCGTCTGTGGCTCCGAGGCCTCGGCGAAGGCCAAGGCCTTGTTAAGTGGCTGAAGCAGCTCCCAGACCGTTTCGTTTGTTTGCACGCAGGCTGCCCCTTGCGTCTGTTTGGCTGTCTTTGTCGTCATTGCTTAGAGCTTGAAGGAGCAGTTGACTGACCGGCCTCTTTGCTTCTGAAACTTGTCTGTTTCCACCCCTCTCTTCGTGCAGTTATTCCTCGACATGGCTTACAGAGTCTCGGGAAAGTTGCCACAGCCCGGCGCATGCCACCACCTGCAAACCTGCCAAGCTTGAAGTCTGAAAACAGAGGAAACGACCCCAACATCGTGATAGTTCCCAAGGACGGAACGGGATGGGCAAACAAGCAGGATCAGCAAGACCCAAAGAGGTGAGAGCAGCGGGGGCAGGTGTGGGTGGGGAGCTGGAGCCTCATGGAGTGCCGTGGCCCCCTTTCCTTCTGCAGAAGGCAGTGCAGAGCTGGAGAACCGGGGAGATCCCAGAGGAAGCTTCTTTCACCCTGACTCCCGCTGCTTGGTCGTTTCTTGCTCCCTGCTCTCGTTTTTCCTGGCTTTTGGAGCTGATGCAGCAGGGCTTCTGTGGGCTGCCTTGTCCCCGGTGACCAGCGTCCCCTGTGCCTTATTAGGAAGGGCCTCATCACCCCAGAGGAGCTTATGCAATGCCTCAGTGCCAGTTCCTGAGCCAGGAAGGGCCGTTGTGGACGGGGCGGGTGCTCGAACACTCCATTCTGCCGGTAGTCCCTTTGTGTTGGTTCCAGGGTGAGGAGGAGGCTGTCTTCCCAGCTTCGGGGCCAGCAGCTTTCCACAAAGACTGCTGCACTTAGTTGCTCCAAACAGACCCAGTTATGAAGGCGAACAATCCAGAATCCTCGTTATTCAGGGTTGATATGCAGCCTCCCTGTAGGCTCCCACCACTGCCAGCACAGCACTTACGGGAGCCTTAGGAGGCCCAGGGTCTGGCACAAAAATCATGTGAGCAACAGAGCAAATGTTGTGGCTGCTGGGGGCCCGTTCCAGCTCTGCCCCGGGCGTGTGACTTGGGCCCCTCCCTCCCACCTTCCACTGCGAGTCTCCTCTGCTGGGCGCCAGCCAGCCATAAGGGTAGCGAGGAGGGAGGATTTGGGATTTGTGCTGGGAGGGGACCAGAGAGGGACAGGACCTTGCTAAGGCTGGCCGGCAGGACCTGCTGCTGGGGTTTGCCTGCTGGGGAGTGAGAACAACACAGTCTGGTCTCATACGTCTTCCTGCCCTCAATCTCCTCTTGTGCTCTGGCTGCCGGTGCTCGGGATCCAGAGAGTCAAAGTGACCTAGAGCACAGCCTGCCAACCCGTGTCCTTTTCTCTTGCCGGAAATGGCCATGATAGCTTTTTTTAGAGAGAGGAAGTGCGCGTGCGAGTGCGGGGGTGGGAGGGGGAGGAGGAGGAGTAGAGGGGGAGAGAGTCTCCAGCAGGCTCCAGGCTCAGCGCAGAGCCTGACGCAGAGCTCGGTCTCACAACCCTGAGATCATGACCTGAGCCGACACCAAGAGTTGGCCGCTCAACCAGCTGAGCCACCCAGACGCCCCGGCCGTGGCGGCTTCTGTAAAACTTGCCTGCAGTTACTTCAGACAACATGTAGAGAGTGAGCACATGGTTCAGTCACATGAGCATAAAGGAGTAATAACCAAAGTAGAGTCTGAAAAGCTGTTTTTAAAAATTTTCTAACCAAAAAAAAATAAATAAATAAAAATTTTCTAACCGTTTGTTTAGGAGTCATACAGGTTGATGGTAAGGCCTGACTGTTAGGATCAGCCAGGCCACTTCCTACTAGCTTTCTGGAACCTGGAGAGGGATTTGATTTGTGAGCTCCCCTGTCCTGGGTGGTTGTGGGAAATAGGCGAGCTGCTGCAGGTCAGGTACCTGGCACGGAGAAGGTGTGTGGCAGGTGTGAGCTGCTGCTGTCATTCTGTTCGGATGGCAGATGCTACAGACCCTGTAATGACGTGGATATTGTACATTTCAACATAAGTCCTGCTTTGCCTCCGCCACGAGAAGTTCCAGGGAGCGAGAACAGGGCCTCACTCCCTCCTTATGTGGGGTCCTGCCATTACTGGCACAGAAGGGATCAGGCCGTGCTGAAGCACGTCAGCCAGGGGAAGGTCGGGACGGGGCACTGGACGAGGCCGTGGACCCCAGGCGCTGGTCCTCTGTTCCCCTGGGCCTCGTCCTCCCTCAGAGTCTCAGGGAGGTGATGCGGTGAGGGCCACCACTGCTGGGACTCTGTGCTTAGGTTTGGAGAATACAGGAGTGACACTACATAGAAGCTTCTGTTGTAGGTAGAAGGTAATGTGAAAGGACATTAGGGCCTTCATTTTGTAGTCGTGCTGCATGCTGGGTTCCTTGGGTCGTGTCAACCCCAGCAGCGTATGTGTGTGAGTAGCGTTTGGCGTCAGCTTACTGGTGAGCCCCCGGCATCGGGGGAGACTGGCTGACGGGCTGCTGCCCTCCTTGGGTCTCCTCGGTGGAACAAGTGCCCAGAAGGCTCTGGGGGAGCAGACGTCTTCCTCACAGCCCCTTGTTGAGTATCGACTGACACAGTCTTCTTTGGAGGGCACCTGGGCCATACCTTGTAAACTCCAGAGCCTCTTAGACTACTGAATGATGCAGAAGTGTGCAAAGATACGTATTAAGAAGTGCTCATCGAAATTGTGCCAGTAATGGGGAAAAAAATTGGGGATGGGGGCCCATCCAGTTGTACTGTGTCTCTAAAACAAAGAGGTAGATCCGTGTGCTGTCCTGAAAGCACGGTAGATATGTTAAGTACAAAACAAGCTACGAATTGTGTGTGTGGTGTTATCCCACTCATGTTAAAAAAATACTATGTTAATGTATATATAGCAAAATCTGCTTGGCGTTTCACTCTGGAGGATGAGATCGTGACAAATTCTGTGTTATATATATTTACACATTTATTTTTATTCTGGGCACATATTTCTTTTATAAGCCAGGAGAAAAATCACATCTCAAAGCCATCAGCCCCCTGCACTGCCGTGAGCTCTTGGTCAGAGTCTGGGGCTCCGAGCCCCTTCCCTTGCTGACTCGGTTTCCCTGTTGGCAGTCCCTCCAGCTCACGGTGGGCTCCCAGGTTGTGCAGGAGCGGCTCTGCCAGGGCGCCGACGACTGTCCTGCCCGGCAGCGGCCAGGCCTCGGAGGGCGCCCGGCGTCTCGTGGGCTCTGCGGCGTGAGAGTCTGCTGGGGAGCTCCCGTGTTGCTGCCGAGGCTCCGGCAGGCGCAGAGGGGCCGGCGCGCCCACCCCTCTGACCCCCGCGCCCCCTGCCTTGTCCAGTTCCAGTGTGACGGGCTCTCCGCCGCCGGAGTCGCTGCCGCAGCCGGGTTTGCAGAGGCCTGTCTCCAGCTTACAGAAGCCGACACAGTCGAGCAGCCAGGAGGTAGGTGCCGCGTGCCCCGCTCCTTCCAGAGGCGAGCCTGGCGGGGGGCCGTGGGACAGGAGCACGGGACATTGTCGGGGTCCCGTGAGGTGCCTTGAATCTGCGGCTTTTGGAGAAAGACCCCCAGATCCAGAACAGAGTACAGACAGCTAATTTGCTTTCTGGTGACTTGCCTTCAGGCGAGGTCACGGGGGTGAGCCACAGGCCAGATCAGGGTCCCCCGCTGTACTCCATGGGGACCGGTTAGGTCACAGGAAGGTTCGGGGGTCAGGTGAGTTGAAAAACAGAATTAAGCAAAAGCTCCTTTACTGTCTGACTTCTCATCAGTGTCTTCAGTGTGTTCGTGTGTGCTGTGACTCTACGAAGACTTAGCGGGTGGTGTTCCCGGAACCCATCTGTCCTAGGAAACCTGTCTGAGGGGCCATCTTCAGAGACTAGTGTCTCTAAGAACAACTTCGGGAAATACTGACCTATGACCCTTTATTTGTTGATGCATGTAAAGTGTTCTCCTGGGGGTGCCTGGCTGCCTTAGTCGGTGGAGCATGCAGCTCTTGATCTTGGGGTTGTGAGTTAAAGCCCCATGTTGGGTATAGAGATTACTTAAAAAATAAAATCTTAAAAATAAATGAATAAATAGTGTTTTCCTAAACAGAAAGTCAGGATTTAAGCAAGGGCTCATAATGTATTGTCCATCGGAGTCTGTCTGTGGGTTTCATGGATCAGCAGGAGGATACGCTTAGCTGGTAGCTGGAAATCCAGATGAGACGTCTACAGATTTTTTAGAAGACCACAAGATGTGTAGATAGGTACCTAGCACTCAGCAGCTCTCTGGAAAACAACCTGCACTACTGTGTTTTCATTTTGTACTGCTCCCTGGGCACCAGAAGGGCACCCTCCCCCACCCAACACTGAACTGTGCTTTTGAAATTAAAGGAAAAGGTAAAAGAAGCCCACATTCACACGAAGCTCCCGTGTTCCTTGGCCTGAATCCACTAGTACCTGGCGCCCAGTCAGAGCACGGAGTTGAGTCCGGATCTGTGTCCTGGAGTTGGAAGCTAAGAGATTGGGGGAGCCTGGGTCTTGCAGCCCTTGCTGTAGGTCAGACTCACCTTGGGAGCAGCTGGAAGTGGATCTGTCCTGTCCCCCGGGACTGCAGAGTCTGGGCGGGGCCTGGCATGCTCCTGGCATCTGCGGAGGGTCAGAGCCCCGGCCCGGGGCCAGCGTGCTGGTCGCCCTGCCCAGGGCTCAGCTTTTCCCACGGGGTGGCCATGAGAAGGGACTCCCGGTGTTCCCCAGCCTCTAAAGCCTCGCCCCGGAGGCCCGACAGCACTTCTGCTCTTGTCAGAGGCGCACCAGGAACTCTGATGGCAACGTTAGGACCGCTGCTCAGCCCTGAGCCATTCTCTTCCCATTTGGTGCCTTTGGTGGGCGAGGGCTGCAGACACCGAGTGGGAGGCTGTGGGGCCTTGGGGCCCCTGTGCTTCCTGGGGGACCGGCCAGTCGCAGGGGCCTGTGGCCATCCCAGAGCACTCAGGTAAATCCCAGAGCAGCTCCTGGTAAATAAATGGATTGTGAGACCTAGTCAGTTCGGCAGCCGTGTGCCCTGAGTGTGGTGGTGCGGGTGCCTGTGCTGGGCGGGAAAGAGTCATTACTTAATGTGACGTTTGACCCAGTAAGTGCTGAAATGTCATGCTGCACCAGCTTTGTTTTGTGCGTTTTTACCTTCCGTTGGAGGGGGAAGGCTGCTAGGTTGAATGCTGTTGGGAAAGCATTGGACTCAGTGGCTGGGGACTCGACGGGGCTTGGGATGCAGGCCGAGTGGGGACAAAGTCCTGGTCCTGCCCTCCTGAGTGGGACTGGCCACTCCTTTCTGAGCCTCGGTTGGGATAGGACTAGAACCTTCCCAGGGTGTGGGAGGATTTGCTCCGGCGGGGTGTGCCTAGCATAACACCTCGCCTGCTGTGAGCTTTCGGCACTGTTAGCTCCTGGGTTAGCTGCTAGGATTGCGTGCGAGCCTGGCGAGCCCAGGTTAGTGGAAGAGGAAGTCCTCACTTGAGTAGTTGTGCCTTGTAGAATGACAGTAATTAACGGAAAGCGGCGTAGTGGCCCATCCGGTGAAAGATGAGGCGCACCAGCTTTCTTGTGCTAGCTCTCCTTTGCTGGCAGGGGAACGTGATTTTTTTTTTTTTGAAAGTAGACCTTTTGAAGGGGGACTCCTCTTTTTTTTTTTAAAGATTTATTTATTTGAGAGAGAGAATGTGATAGAG